CTTACTAAGAATGGTTCAGAGTTTAGAGAGAAATTTGCATGAGATTTGGAAGGTGGAAGGGAAATAGTGGCCAATATTCTCTGCGAGTCATGCTGTTTAAATGCAGTGAAATTCTGATGCAGAGAGGCTGGAAGATTCCAGCTTGTCCTCACTCTTCCCAGCTCTGTGACCAGCTCTTTTTCTTGATGGTTGGTCATGCTCACCAACAGCACCTGCAGGCTCACCCCCAGACACAGAGGCAGTAGCCTCCCATGGACTTCTCCACCAGCCTCCTGTGGTCCCTCCAGCTGGATGTGCCTGGCTTCCCAGATTCCCTAGGGACCTACAGACTTTTTTACCCAGGTCACATGGTCAAGAGAGTTTGGTAGTGACATCTCCCTAATCCACAGTCTCCCTCTTTTAGATCCTTACTTCCCAGCTTCTTCCATAATTGGATAAGGTCTTATTCCTAAAATAAATCCCTTATGCTATACTACTTACAGTGGTTCTGCTGCCCTGATTGAACCCTGATGGATTTCCTCAGCTGAAAAATTAAGGGTTTGGAAGAAGACCTACAAGTTTTAAAATTTGATGATTATTTATGCTTATCTTCCTTGCTTCTCCCTCCCCAACATATACATAGAAACACATTATGATTAAAGACAAAATCTGAGTAACGTACTCAGGAAAAATGAATGAAAACCATTATAAAGGTTCCCATTTAATACTGGTCAGGGGAGGGAGTGAATTACTCTTCACTGTGTATCTTTTGAATTTTACCTGTAATACCTACTGAAAAACAGAAATATATTAAGGTTCTGTTTATATTTCTGTCAAGATTAATCAATAGAACTAAGCTACATAAGATCTAAAATTTCTTGTCTTCATTTGAATCAATCTCTCTCAGAAACACACATTCAGTCACATGATATGTTAGCTCTACTTAATCATCTAATCATTCAATCTTGCATTAGTTCACTCAAATCTTTATTAAGTACCTATATTTCGTGACAAATATGATATTATGTACTGGGTATTCAAAAGTGAATAAAATATGCCACTTTTTATACTCCTAGCCTTTGGATTTACTGCTTTCTTAGTTCAAAATGCTCCCTCCCTCTCCTGCCACTCATACTCTGTGGAAACAAATTCAGAAGCCATGTTCTCTGGGAAACCTTCCCTGAAAACCCAGCCACAGAGTTATTCATTCATTTCTTTCTTTAAATTCTCTATTTTGTACCTATGTTGATTTTAGATTAATTTATTGTTCTGTTTATGTGTTTATGTGTCTGTCACATCTATTAGCCTGAGATATCCTATGTCCATAGAATATGTTTATCTGATTTTGATGTGGCTCTTCTGTAATCCTAAACATCCTGCATTTATTTCTATCATGGCACTTGCCACAGTGCACTCTTATAGTTAATTAATTAGTCCGTCTCTTTGATTGGATACTGAGCTCTGTAAGGGATAGGCACATATTAGAAACGATTTCATTTTGTTTCTCTACTGTAAAAGACATTCCATGGACATATTGAATGTTCAAAAGTCTGTTAATTTTCAACAAAGGTGCCAAGACCATTCAATGGGGAAAGAACAATCTCTTTAACAAATGGTGCTGGAACAACTGGATATCCACATGCAAAAGAATGAAATTGGACTTTTACCTCATACCATATACAAAAACAAATAAAAAAGCACACACAAAAAACCTCAAAATGGATCAACAACCTAAGAGATATAAGAGCTAAACCCATAAAACTCTTAGAACAAAACATAGGCATAAATCTTCATGACTTTGGATTTGGCAATGGATTCTTAGATACGGTACCAAAAGTAAAGGAAATAAAAGAAAAAATAGGTCAATTAGACTTCATCAAAATTAAAAACTTGTGCATCGAAGATCATTATCAACAAAATAAAAAGGTCCTTTATACATCATATCTGATAAGGGTACAGTATCCAGAATAAATAAAGAACTCCTACAAATCACCAACAAAAAAACAACTCATCATTAATCATTATGGAAATGCAAATCAAAATGATACCCAGTAGGATGGCTATAGTCAAAAAAATGGAAAATAAGTATTGGTGACAATGTGGAGAAAGTGGAACCCTGGAACATCGTTGGTGGGAATAACAAACGGTTCAGCTGCTGGGGAAAACAGTTTGGCAGCTCCTCAAAAAGTTAAACATTAAATTACCATATGATCCTGTAATTCTACTTTCAGGTATATATCCCAAATACCTGAACACAGGTACTCAAACAGGTACTCATACACAAATGTCCACAGGAACCAAAAGGTGGAAACAGCTCAGATGTCCGACAGACAAATGGATAAACAAACTGTGGTATGTACATACAGTGGAATATTATCCAGCAATAAAAAAGAATGAAGTACTGATACATGTTATGATGTAGATAAACCTCCATAACATTATGTTAAGTGAATGAGCCAGACACAAAAGGTCATATATTGTATGATTCCATTTATATGAGATATCCAAAATAGATAAATCCATGGAGACAGACAGCCGACTGGCGGTTGCCAGGGGCCATGGGAGGTGGGGTAAGGGACATGGAGAAACTGCTTAATAAGTAAGGGGTTTTACTTTGGAGTGAATAAAATGTTTTGGAACTAGATAGAGGTGGTGGTTATACAATATTATGAATGTACAAAATGCCACTAAATTATTCACTTTAAATGGCTAATTTTATGTTATGTGAATTTCAACTCAATCAATTATTAAAACACACACATAATTTATTAAATGAATTAAGGAATGAATAGGAGAGATATAGCTGAGTTAAGGCTAGATGGTCACAAAGTTTCTTGGGAAAATAAGGCTCATCTTCTTTGTTGATGATGGAATTTGTAGTTTTTAAGAAATGATGATGTATAAGTTTTGTAAGCTGGTACTTCCTAAATCTGAAAACTGAGTGAAGTGGAGGAATGAGGGGACTTGATCTTGGCTGGTATCATGTGATGTCTGGAGGTCAGGATTGGTGTAGTGGATGTGTGGTGTGCACCCAGACCCTCCCACTTCAGGACCAAAACACTCACTCCCCGCAGTTGCCGGGAGTATTGCCTGCTGATGGCTCAATAATTGCATCCTGCTCCTGAAATGTACCTTGGCCAGGTGTGGGAGATTTTTCACCCAAATTTATACTCCTTCGCAGGAGCACATTCAATCACTTGTCAATGAAGGGCTATAATAATACATTTTATATCATGAAAGTGCTTTGTGCTAGGGATAAAGGGATGGACAGGATGGTGATGATCTCTGTCCTCAGGACCCAGACAGAGTATACAGATAAGTATAATTAAATATGCTAAGTGATATGATGAGAGCAAACAGAAGGGAAACCTAACCTGCTCGGTGGTCGTTCAGGGAAGACTCCCTGGAAAACGTGATGTCTACTCTGAGACTTGATGAACGATGAGAGTTAGGCAAATGAAAATGGTCAGTTAAAAGAGTTCCAGGTAAAGAGAAGATCATATACAAAGGCCTACTAGCAAGTGACCCATCATATTTTCAGGAAGCTGAAAGAAGCTCATTATGAATAGAGCCCAAGTTAGAAAAGAACGTGGGTACTTGAAGAAGAACCTTATAAGGAGTACAGATTACTACTTAGCATTTGGTTTTAGGCAAATTATTTATCTTGTCTAGACCTTAGCATGTATAATTAGGGAAAACAGTTCTTACCCCACAGCATTATTGTGAAAATTAAGTTAAATAAGTTAGGTAAAGTGATAAGCACTAAGCTATTATTAATGTTGTTGCTCTTATTAATGCCAAGATATGGATAAATATAGCCAGCCCTGGCGGTCTAGTGATTAAGATTCAGGGATTTCACTGCTGTGGCCTGAGTTTGTTTCCCGGTCAGGAGACCACACCAGCCATCTGTCGGTTGTTATACTGTGGCAGCTGTGTGTTGCTGTGATGCTGAAAGCTGTGCCACCAGGATTTCAAATTCCGGCAGCGTCACCCATGGCGGACAGGTTTCAGTGGAGCTTCCAGACTAAGGCAGACTGGGAAGAAGGACTTGGCCACCCACTGCTGTAAAAGCTAGCCATGAAAACCCTATGAATAGCACCGGATTCTGATACAGTGCCAGAAGGTGAGAGGATGGCGCTAAAAGACCGGGCAGGGTTCTACTCTGCAGTACACAGGGTCACTAGGAGTCAGAATTGACTCAATGGCACTAACAACAACAAATGGCTAAGTATAGTTTTGATGGTAAAAGGGCAGAACCCCAAAGCAATCAGCATTGCAAAAGGCCTACAACAAAGTCTACATACAATGTTTTAAAGAAATCCATCAACAAACCACCATAGTGTGTTATAAAGCAACAGATGCTACTGAATCTTATAAATTAAAAAAAGCAGATGAAAAATAATTCTTTCTTAAAATTATAAAGACCTCCAGTTTTACAATCTAACAGTATCTTTAATGCCTAGTACCTTCATTCTAGCAAACAACCCTACCTAACTCTCTGATGGACCGTCAAGTAGCCTGGGTAAGATGGCAGTGGCTCTCTACAAATCTTATAGTTCACATGCAAGACTAATTCCTTTAAAAATATTCTCTGTGAACATAGCTGCTTTTAGTTAAAGTGAACTAAAAAAACATCCCAGAGCCTCTGTGACTTTTCTCCTCTTATTATTATAAGCAGAAAAGAGAGATTTAAAAAAAAAATCTAACCTTGAATACAATGGATTTCAAGGAAAAAATGTAACTGTATCCTTAACTAGAAGAGGAACTTTTCATCAAATAGCAAGCTTTTCAAAAAAAAATGCTGACACAATCTTAAATTTGTAATAATTAAGGTGTAACAGTGGTAGGACTAGCAGGTTTCCAAGCAAAATCATCAGCTACAATTACAAAATATATTTTATGTTTGTCATGAAATGCAGAAGCAATACCAAAACACTTAGGTTGCAAAAGATTATATCACCTCTTGTTCTTCTGGCAATGAAATTTTAGAAAGTGTAGAAAGTTTCTCAATCATTACCTACCTGCTGGCCATATTCCACTCAAGGGCTGGATTTTGAGAATTTCTTTCACTCTCTGTTAGCACTCCTCCTGTGCCACTTTCCTTCTCTGGTTTTAGTTGATCCCATTGTGCAGTACCAATATTGATGGACTGCAGGTCTATTTGGTATTGTCTGTCTTCAATTTCTGATCCAGGGTCTCGAAGAATTCCTAAGTTCAAGGCTCTCCTGTAAAGACAGTGAAAAACCATAAATAGATTAAAAATAAATATTCTATGTTTATTTTGTTCCCTAACATAGTATAATTATCATTTTTTCCTTTGGATTACTGAAGAATTCACTGAGTTAACCAAATCTATGAAGGTTACCATATATCCAAAACTTATCACTTAACAGTAATCTATACTATAATGATTTCTTACATTATTCTCAGCACTGGACTGTTTTTCTAAGTACTTTCACGTACATGGTTTCAATCCTTGAGATGCAGTGAGGTTCTATTATTACCTCCATTATTACTAAAGAGAAAATAATTCAGAGAGTTGAAAGATTTAGCCAAAGTTACAGAGCTAGTATGACAGACAAAACTGCAACTTAAATCCAGGTTTTCTGACTCAAAACCTAGTCTTTCCAATGCTAATCACCTACCTTCCTCAGCCCTTTGATGTCTTGTTAGGAAAGGTGATAGAGACTTGTTAAACTATTTCACTCCCCTACCCCTTGCCTTTGGTTCTTTATATAACCCAACTGTCATACAGACTAAATTTTTGAGAAGACTACATTGTTTACTGATGTAGAAACAGAGTGATGATTACTGGCTCATATAGAGTTGCAACATGGATTCTCCTGGACCCAATGCTAAGCAAATGAATAAAATTATCAGTAGCTTAAAGCTAAATTAGAGGAAGTAAATGCTTCAATTTTTAATGAATATTTTAGAAGAAAAACAGCAAGGTGGTATGGTATAGTAGGAAGAACAGCGTTCAGGGGTCCGGAGCCAGATAAACTTAAGTTTGTGTGAGTTTGAGAACTTTTTAGTTTTGTTGGTTCACAAATGCTTTAAAGTAGGTTATCAAAAGGAAAATAATATTTGGCTCCTATGCAAGTTTGAATCAACATAAAAATTAAAAGAACATAGAGGATAAAAATAGTTTTACTTTACATCAACTGAACACTAACGAAACTAACTAGTGGAGACCAGGGGGAGCTTTGGGTCCCAGTGCGAAAATTACAGAAAGAGGGTAAGAATCTGATTAAGACTATGCCTTGGCTAACTAAGTAGTTTACATAAGTCAGACCATATGCAGAGGGTGGTCAAATACTGATGGAAAGTGGAAGACTATTGAGACACACGATGGCAGGTGTCTGGGCCAATTGCTCAGGAAGGGAGATGGCATGCATTGGGTCAGGCAAGGTGAGGGCTGAGGCTAATGAATTCAAGTGAAGAGTGGAGTAGGGAGAGGACTGGAATTGAATGAGCAGGCAGCTCAGGCAGGGAAATATCAGAGGGAGTTAAAATAAGGTAACAGGCAAACAAACAGGCATTGGTCAAGAAGACATAGTAGGAGCCAGAGAAACAGAGACAGATGAATTCTCATTATTCCTAAGGTAAGAGCTAAAACTAGTTTTCTTTTTCTCTTTTCTAACTCAGAAAAATTACAATCTAGGAATGGGCATGCAAAGAAAGGTGGCCTAAAGTTTTACAAATGAACCCAAGAATTGCATTAGAAATAGGGCCCATAAAATGGGCCATCAACCCTTTCAATTTGCCCTAATGAAGGTAAAGAAAAAAGAAATGACTGAGGGTGCAGGTGGGAGGGAATAACATTTTGACTGTCTCTATTTTGGTAGAATGCTCTCATTTCGTTTGAATTATGGTATCATTCTGCTAATTCTTCAAGGCCCAGCTCAGACTTCACTTTCATTGAAGCCTTTTCTGACCACCCTTTTTCCCAACTCCCTCCTTCCCAAATCTGTGCTCTTAGGGTCTCTCTATACATATAAGTACAATAACTTGTCACTCTTTTCCAATATACCATAAATTTCTTGAAGTCAGGAACTAACTCTCGTATCAAGTAATCAGTAAATGCCGTTTCAATTCACTGATTTGAACTGACACAAATCTTTACAAATTCCAAGTGGAGAACCTACCTGTCCACAGCAATAAGAACACACAGTCTTTAAAAAGTAAACTTTTGATTCAGGTCCACATAAATTATGACGTACAGCAAATATCTTAGACACTTGGTGGCCTAGCCTATTTCCCTAGATTATTATTCCCCATATAAAAGTTACATTTACTTATTTTAAACTAGCCAATGCTTTCTACATTTTAAATAAATTCCCTAAACATATTTTTAAGGTGAAGTAAAATACTTTAAGAATGCTAACAGGAAAAAAAAGTATGTTTGGAAAGACAATTAGTGCTATATTAAAAGACAAACAAAACAATCTAGCCCAGCATTAACATCAGTCTTTCTATTTCCCTTGGCACAGGGAGAAACTGCATAATCACAAGATTACAACCACAAAAACATAGAGTTTCATCAGTTTTTCATTTAGGCTTGACATTCTCCATATTTTGTCTTGGCCTTAAGTTGAGCTATACTTTTCCTATTATCTATCTGTGGAAAACAGGACTTCCCACAGGTTCTTCCTCTCTATGAAAAAGGAGTTTGTACATTGAGCAATAGCCAGATACTTCTAAACATGTTAATTTTAAAATTTCAAACTTTCTAAAAATCAAAGTTGGAGATTTTATGTTTTATCCTTTTGTTTACTTTTCAAATTAAATTATATATTTGTCATTTTAATCTGATTTGAAAGATCTGAGAAATTTATAATAGTTGGGTGTATAAATTCAACTTAAACTGCAAAACCATTTAAATATGAGTTGTAGAAAATAGGATAAGATTGTAGCAAAAGGTTCATGTGAGCTTTGGTCTCAGACTTTCCAATGATTATGAGCTTGAGGAAATTATTTAACTTCTCTGTGTTTTAGTTATTTCAATATTAAGATTAGTACAGAGATAAATAAAATATATGACTGAAAATTAAACTATTCATAAAGAGGCCCTTTATAAATTGTATGACCATTCCTGAAGTACATTATCTGACATGGTTCTGAATAGAAAGCATATCTAATCACCAACTAATCATAGGTGCACAGGAACCAAGATAAAACAAAGTCCACTTTTCTAATTATGAAAACACTATAATGAGAACCATAAAGATAAATGTTCTTTAGTATGTCCAGAGTCTCGTTTCCAAAATACGGCATCTTGGAAACCTTGACTGAACCTTCTGACTCAAATAACTAAAATGCTTGGAAAAAACTTAAAATATCTTTTTAAACACATCTCAGAGCTGGCACCAGAGGACAGAAGCTGCAAAGTCCCCAGAAAAAAGTGAAACCAGGAAAACAAATAAATAAGCACCTGCCAAAGCCAGTTTTTGCTCTTAAGGGTTCTGCTGAATCCCGCAGACACTGATTTTCTGCTCCGCTAACTCCACAGGAGGCGATAAAGCTCAAGGCCCACCCAAGGTGATGAATCTACTAAATAGGAGACCCTGCGTATAAGCCTGGGGTCATGAATGGCTACATCAGCAGTGAAAGGGTGAAGTAAAAACAGCCCTCCTAGAGAGACTTTTGGTGATAGAACAGTTCTGTATCTTGATTGTGATGGTAGTTACATGAATCTACATATGTGGTAAAATTGCACAGAACTATACACACATAAACACAAATGAGTACACGTAAAACTGGTGAAATCTGAACATGCTGTGGATTGTACTGATGTCAATTTCCTGGTTCTGATATTGTACTATAGTTATGCAAGAAGTTATGCAAGACCTCAAACCATAAAACTCCTAGAAGAAAACATAGGTGGTAAGCTCCTTGATATTGGTCTTGGCAATGATTTTTTGGATTTGATGCCAAAAGCAAAGGCAACAAAAGCAAAAATAAACAAGTGGGACTAGATCGAACTAAAAAGCTTCTGTTCAGCAATGGAGACCATCAATAAAATGAAAAGGCAACCTGTGGAGTAGAAGAAAATATTTGCAGACCATATATCTGATAAGGGGTTATATCCAAAATATACAAGGAACTCATACAATTCAATACCAAAAAGCCAAACAACCCAATTAAAAGATAGGCCAAGGACCCGAACAGACATTTTTGTAAAGACATACAAATGGTCAACTGGTACATGAACAGGCGCTCAATATCACTAATCATCAGGAAAATGCAAATCAAAACCACAATGAATCACTACTTTATACCTGTTAGGATGTCTATTAGCAAAAAGACAAGAGATGATAAATGCTGGGAAGGATATAGAGAAAAGGGAACCCTTTACACAATTGGTGGAATGTAAAATGGTATAGTCATTACAGAAAACAGTGTGGAGGTTCCTCAAGAAATTAAAAACAGAACTACCATATGATCTAGCAATCCCACTTCTGGGTACATATCCAAAGGAAACAAAGCATTATCTTGAAGAGTTATCTATAGTCTGATGTTCATGGCAGCATTATTCACAATAGCCACGGTGTGGGAACAACCTAAGTGTCCATGGACAGGTGAATAAAGAAAATGTGGTGTGTATATATAAATACAATGGAATATTACTCAGCCTTAAAAAGGAAACCTCGTCATTTGTGACAACATGGATGAACCTGGAGGTCATTTCACTAAGTGAAATAAGCCAGAGAAAGACACATACTGCATAGTATCACTTATAGTGGAATCTAAAAAAAAAGTCTAACTCATAGAAACAGAAAATAGAAAAGTGGTTGCCAGGGGCTAAGGGGTGGGGAAAATAGGGAGATGCTGGCAAAAGGGTACACACTTTCAGTTACAAGATGAATAAGATCTGAGCATCTAATGGAAAACACGGTGACTAGAGTTGATAACACTGTATTGTTTAATTGAAATTTGCTGAGAGTGTAGAATTTAAATGTTCTCACCAGAAAAATAAAAAGGTAAATACCTGAGGTGATGGATGTGTTAATTAACTTCATGGAGAAAATCCTTTCACAATGTATATGTATATCAAGTCATCGAGTTATACACTTTATCTTACAATTTTGTCAATTATACCTCAATAAAGCTGGAAAAAAATTACATTGAGGGAAACTGGGTAAAGGGCACACAGGACTTTCATACATATATTTATATATTTGCAACTTCCTGTGAGTCTGTAAGTATCTCAAACTAAAAACTT